TTTTTTATGGTTTTGTTCAGCATTTAGTGCCGCATTCAGTGATATATAATTGGGTTATCAATAATAACTTTTAAGTGCACTATATAGTCAAGTTATCCCGTATATAGCTCTTGTATAAGCCGTATAAGAGATATCACCTGGCTCGCAGGAAAAAAGTGGAAGATTCGCAGAAATTTTTATTGATTCGTCGTTTTGTATTAATTTCTTTTCGAACTATGTATAGTTAATAGGGGTTTCACTATGGTTTCCAAATAGGGCCGTTTTTGCTAGCATATCCACCCCCGTCCTTTGTAATTAGGAAAAATCTTGAATTCCACATAGATCTGTTAAGAATAGATGAAGATTTTTTTTTAAATAGAGAAACATTCTGAAAGACTATATACGTATGTAAAAAATGAAGTAATTCCATAAGACAATCAGCACTAGCAACGATCAGGAAAACTCAGCACGGAAATAAGCTTTTCTATCGAAATTAGTCGACCATAAACCTGGAGGAAGATTCTATGATAAATAATCAAATACACTTTCTACAACTTTAGTTAGCGATTGGCTTGAAACTTCGAGATATTTAATCTTATCGTCTGGTTTGATTTTTTTGTATTAAGACTTAAATTCGCTCTCATTTCGAATCAAGATGGCATTGCATCTAATTCTAATAAAACCTAAACTTTGTTTATGAAATTTTTTCTCCAAGACATCATAAACTCTTAAAAAGATAAGTATACTTTGATCTCAGCTACCGACTGCATCGACGTGAAAAAGGTATTGCTAAATCCAACAATAACTAACGTCAATGCAAAAATAGTAAACTACTAGTTTAAATGATCTATGCAAATCAATAGAAACCTTTCATCTGAAATTAATTAGCAAACATATCATTGGCGAATTCGAACTGAATGATATCCGAGAGCAATTTGATTGGATTATCTGTTATATCAAATTCTTGCCAAGCATAACTGATTAGAATATACGTATCCGTACTTGTTTTGATTGGTACTACTAGCAATGACGAAAAATAGAACAAAAGCAATGATTTATTCTATGCATGAATTTTGTCATAGTGATGAAATAATACGAACAAGTAAAGTTTTTATTTATAACTTATATCTGAGCGGTTCATGTAATCTATTTGACGGATTGCTTGAAAAAAGAATTTTGCCATGGATTGATTGTGTTAGAAAATCGTTTCAATATTAAAAATAGTATGAAATATATACCGCCTCTATCGGATTCAACGTCACCATTGCTGACAATTAGGAAAATATTTGTACATATCGACTTTATATCACTAAGTTTTGTATGGATGTAAAATTATAATTTTTAATCACACCATACACAATGAATGGAAGACCTATCAAGTGTTTCCATTTAAAAATATCATAATCCATTAATATAAATGGCGATAGTTTCAAAAATAAAAAGATAGATAGCCCAATGAAAACTATTCCAAAAAAATACTGCAGAGAGCAGAATCATCACAATATAGAAAACTAACCTGTACACGAAGAACACATTCAATGGTCTGACGAATGTGTTCATAACTGCGAAGAATAAGTTTACTAGAGAAGAAACGCATCCATTACTGTGCCAATATATTCTACAATGTTTTCAATCTAGTTCAAAATTGTTTCTTATTCCAATAGAAAATTTGATAAACCTTTTCACCAACCATTTGAACTATTCCCCGTATATTCGTTTTTGGATGTACGTGTAGGGGAGTAATTATTTCTTTAATGCACAGGCTCACACCCAAAATCACCTAGAAGGTTTTCTTGTGAATGAAATTAAATTTCTTCACGTAATAAAAAGTCTCAATCGATATGGTACAGAGATATAGAAGTAAATAGAATAGTGATGTAAACACGTGATATATTTTCAATCGTGTTCTCATAAAAAAAAAATTTTCTAGTATTTAATGAGATTTGTCTACTTGATCATAACATGATTAAACATAGTGTAAGTTGAGCGTATTTATTGTTGAACGAGTTAGTAAAATAATATTAAAATATAAAAACAAAAAGATCTGTTAGTAGCAAAATTACAATGAACCTTAACATAAATATATAACGGTCACACAAAAAAATGAAAATGTCACAAGAAAAAAATTTTAAGAATCCTTCTTTTCCACTCAATATAAACCGATTTTCAACAAAAAGTTTAGCCTTTGCGAAGGATTTAGTAAAAAAAGTCTAAAATATCAACATCCCTATATACTATAGTACACCGATGAAGGAAAATATTTCTATCAAAATAGACGAGGATTGTGAAAACTGTAAGACTTCGTTGAAAACTAACATTAATTGTTTTGCTAGACTTATCCGTTTAGAATTCGTATAAATAGTAAGATTTTGATGAAACACGAATTGAATGTAATTTTGAAGTTTGCACGTTCCTTCCCTCCCACACACTCGAACAAACAGCTGTTAGAAAGTATCTTTATCGTATTTCATATTTTTATCCCAAAGAAATCGTCGTATCAGTTTTTAAACAGAGACTCTATCCATTACTACATTTGAATATCTTTCTCGAACAACAATAAATAAAACAATTTTACTACAAAGTATCATACGGAATATGGGCCATCGGGTTATCTATTTATTCTCAACAAATTTTCAAATAACATTCAAAAAATGCACATAATTAAGCTAGACAAAGAATGTAGCCTATACACACTTGTTCGTACATATACTAACAGTATTGCGAGAAATTCGTTGTATCTGAATACTCAGGTCAAATACTCCAGTGGCTCGGGTTTCATCACTTTTCGTCGTAGTCCAACGAAAACTGATAGAATCCAGTCAGATCTTAGTCATATCCGGTTAGTTTTTATATCGAAATCCGAGTCACTGGGTTCTCGTTAACTTCCGATAGAATTCTGCTGGCTTTAAGACAACTCGACAGAATCTGAAGATTTAGCTTCGCCCTGGGTACATAAAAACTATTTTTTGAGTGGAATAAAGTACTTAAAATCCTTTCAAGGAAAAAAATAAGGTTTTAAACAGAGATAAAATGCATTGCATCTTGATTATATAAGGACCTCGTTTTAACGAGTGACAGTAATAATGAAACTACTCTTTAATCGACACTTTCATCCCTTGACTCACCACTGGTGTCAATTGAAACTGTTGGCTTGCGGTTGAGCATTTGTGTTGTGCAGACAGTGTTTTCCATTATTGGTTGAGCATCATTGGCTGGAGTGGAAATATTTCGTTGTAGTTCCACTGCTTCATCATTTGTCACACCTATTTAACAAATAAGATGCAAATGTGGTTAAACCAATGAAACTATATCTGACCTGTGTTCGTCGTATTCTGTTGTTGTCCATTAAACACATTCTTTTGATCTGATTGCTGATTAGGTGTTATTGTTTGATCTAATAATTAATAATATTTTTAAATCAAAAGCGAAAACGATCTAGCGGACCTCTTTGTTGGTTTATGCCAGCTGAATCACTTTGAGGATGAGCAATTGGTTCTATGCAGAAAGAAAAAAAATTTCATTGCCATAAGTTTATATAATGAACAAATCATGAATGATGACGCTACTTTCTTTTTTATAAAAAAAAAAAAACTGGAAAAACATACCTGGCTCACGATTGTTATTAATGAGCTGTACACCATCGTGCGATTCAATCGATCTCTGAGGATTAATATTACCTTTCAAATGAAGAATAACAAATAACCAATTGAATTATGTTACATCGAAATGTATTATTAAACTTACAAGTTGAATCGTCGGTGGCAGTTTCAGGTGCATCCCCATTGTGTTGAACTTGTGCATTTGCACCTGAATATTTAGAATAAACACGATTTGCTAGAACATATAAAAAGAAAAACGACTAATTACCTATTTCTGAAAGCGAGTCACTGATACTATCATCCTCATTGTTTAATGATGTTGCTTCTTCGTTTTCATGAACAGTTTCATTATTTGGAATGTAATATGTAGGTCGATGATTGTTTATACCAACTAGAACTCCTGCATCATGCGGCTGTGTATCTGCAATTGGTGTCTGTTCAATATCAACGACTATAATTGAAATAATAAAATTTTGAATCGAATTCTTAAAACAACTTACTCGTTGCCACTGTGGAAAACATCGGAAGTACAACATCATCGACCGGGTCTATAGAAGTGAATTGAATTAATTAGATCATTGAATTTTTTTCTTAAAAATCTATACGTTTTGCTTACTTGCTGTTCGGCCTTCTGCTTGTGCATCGCGATCCAGACTGAGTAAATCTATTTAAAAAAATAATGAAATTAATATTCGAAAATAAATATGGTAGAAATTTACGGCTAGTGTATATATTTGCATAGTGTAGCTGAATTCGATTTATTTGTTCATCATATCGATTTTGATGATTTACTAATTCATAAATTATACATATTAATAATAATAACTCATAATATAGATATAGAATAAACCAAAACAAGATCTTCATCAAAACATATGGCATTGATTTTATTATTTCATAAATTGTAAGAGACCGTGGAAATAATATCAAGCGATTGATTTCTTGATCTAAAATATCCAGTCGGTGAAATAAGCATGTATTCATAAAATAAACTATACTTGTCATTTGTTGTCCATCAGTAGGTAATTCATCCGAAGCCGATTCTCCAATAGCTATATAAATAAAATAATTAAAATTTGAAAAGACTCTCTTGCTAATCGTTTAATAACTACATGTGGAATCATTGTCGTTGCTTGCCGTCGATCGTAATTCCTTATCTATATAAATATGAAAAACAAATCTCGGATGAAATTTATTATTTATAAGAAACCTTAATTCTTACCGTCAGATAATGATGTTCTATTATGTCTATTATTACCGTTTGAACTAGACATGTGCCTTTGATTAATAATTTTTGTGATTAATTCGTTGAAATTCGAAAAAAACCAAACAATAAATTAGAAATCGAGCGGATCTTACTCATATGAATATGAGTAAGATCTCTTGGTTAATTTATAAAAATAAATTATCTAGAATAGTAACAACAAAATCCATTGTTTCCAAGTTATTATCTTGAAATCGATTCTTTGTCTAACAACAGTAAGTATAAATGACCCTCGATACATTTTTTCAAACTTCTCCAGGTGTCCCTTATCATAAATTTGACTTTTTCCTCTTCGTCTTGCTTATTCGTAATCACAAGGCTTTATTTCATCAAAAACAATTTTTTTCTACCTTTAAAGGTCAAAAATCTATCTCGGAATAAGACAGAACGAAACAGAAGCAAGGTAAAATTGCGACGTTCTTCTTATATAAAAAATTTCGACTTGGAACAAATACAACATACAGCGAAAATTAACATTGAAGTAAGTAACATACATTTCGTTACAAAATAAAATGCTAGGAGTAAAACTTAACCATACTAACTGTCAATATATATATATATATATATATATATATATATTCAAATGTAGAAAATACATAGCTGATAGAGTTATATAGGAAAATCGTCTGTTCTTGTATTATTTTTTTCCTATTTAAAATATGTCAACTTCCACATTTAATCGAACAGTAATAATTGCGTATCAATCATTCTCGGATTATTTAGTTCATATCTATGTTTCATTCGTTAGGATTAGTGTTACATTGTTTTTCTCTGTAAGAATAATCTTGAATATGTTAAATTTCAAAAAGACTCATTTTTCTTATGAACTACAAAACAAAATTTGCTTCGTTGTTAAACTTATGGTTTGATGTTAACATTGATCATCAACTACAGACACTTAATGGGCATCTTTTCTTCAGATAACCACTTTCAATCCTGTAGTATGTATAGTTAGTTCTCTGACCTAAATTATTTCGAATTTTACTTCGAATTGAACTGAAAATGTATTAAGAGCAAAAGTAAAATAAAATAAATGTGGAAACTTCGGATTTCATCCGAGAGTTATGTGTACTGCAAAAAGTGCATGCGACATATCAGTCATTCTAGAATGCCTGAACACGAAAATTATCATGAGAAGCTAGACAATTTGATTTCTGGATGGAGTTTTTGTGAATTTTGAGACGTTTTTCAGGCGATGTTTCGTTAGAAAGCTATGACTTAGTTCAAAACTAATATCAGATTTAGAATCAGCGTTAAAANAAATTTAGAGGATATATATGAGTTACATCGTTTCGTCCCAAAGGGGGTGCGCTGAGAAACTTTGTATTGATATTTCGAATTTGCTTTACACTCAATATTAAAAGAAAATAAGAAGAATGAATGAAATAAAAAAGTAACGTCGCATTTAGTTATCGCGTTTTTTATTTTTGCTTCGTGTGTGTGATAAATGTGAAAGCAAATTCGAAATATCAATACAAAGTTTCTCAGCGCACCCCCTTTGGGACGAAACGATGTAACTCATATATATCCTCTAAATTTACTGTTCAAGTAAAAAATCTATAATTATGGCTTAAACTATTTGCCAATGTCTGTAATGGGCAGGTCTTGCTTTTTTTCGTATAGTCTGTAAGGAAAAACTGGAAGAAACAGCAGTCTAATTAGTCTAGTTCATAATAAGCACACTTTTAAAGTCATTAATGTCTGTAATGAGGGATGGGGTGGAGAGGGGGGAAAATCTCCCTTTCAAACTTACACTCACCATTTTCTTCGAAAATATATGTGAGTTCCACAAAATAGTCTTCAATGTACTAATATTATTGGTGATGAATTGTAAAAATCTACAAATATTAAATATTTGTTTGATAAAATAAAAATGGATTAATTTTCTACGCTATTTATAAAAAAAAACGCCCTACACAGACATATAACTATTTGTCATCGGATAAATTAGTCGATGTTAATCACACAGTTCTAGAAAAATGAACCAATTCATAAAGCTGTGTGACTATACCAAGTCTAGTCGCAGAAAAACAAAATAGTGTGACTTACAAATTTAAGATGAGTATAAATACATTCATGCTGCTGTTTCTCTCCTGTTTTAACTACTGATGTTTTTGTTTTACATTTCACAATAGCCCTTCTATTAATCATAACTGCCGTAAGAAAAGTGTGCCTTCTTTTTTACTTTATTTATTTTTCATTGACGTCAATTCTGCCAATCTAGGCATTATTGGTAGTATGTTTCGTTACTTTGCATTGTCAACTCGTTGTCAAAGCTGAAATCTGTTCTATTCTCTTGTAGAAGAGAAGAATAGAGAATATGTATTTAAATATTTTAATAGATTATCTAATTGAGGAGTACGTAGGTGTGTAAGAAATGAAAAGAGAAGAAAAACTAATAAAATATCTAATGAAGCAAATGGTTTTAATTAGTAATCATGCTTCACTTTTTATATTTTTCGGTTCTTAACAATCATGATATCTGACGGGGATTTCAGCACCTCTTGTTTTAAATAGTCAAAAATTATTCCTTATATTAATAGAAATAAAATCTATTCATCGTTTCACAGGGCGTGTTTTACTGCGCACGCATAAAAAAATGAAAAAACAACATATTAATCGGTATTGCTACCATCGTATAAAACCTGCATGTAGAAACTAAACACGTATAACTGAAAGAAAGAATCAGAGAAAAACAATAGATGCTGCATTCGCACTTCATGTATTTTTTCTGTAATAGTTAACAAGATAAAAAATATATGAATTTGTTTTGATTTATCGAAAAGTAAAATAACCGAATTAATGAATTATTGAGAAAAAAAAGTTCCTTCAAACAAAAATATGTATACAATCGAAAATTTGTAAAGCGTAAAGAAGACGAAAACCTCTCAAATGTTAGCTCGAATTGGTCTCGGCGGTTCTTATTTAAACGAAAGTCGCTCGTAAATATTTTATGAAGCACAAATAAATTATTTTGACATTTATCGTACAATAGATGTACAAATACTATAGAAATACAAGATTTGTAGTAGCATATTTTAAAGTACTTGATACATAACTGAATAAATCGAGACAAAAAATAGTCTACATTCTTCAGTTTTAAAAAATAGAAGTAGGCGACAGAATTATGCGCTTTTGTTTCTAATAAAAAAAATGAAATCAATCATTTTCGTGAAATATTTTATGACAAGATTCTATTATTTTAATGAAATTTCGATTGAAGGATACTATATTTTAGAAAGAAATGTCTATTCTAGAGTTTCATACTACAAATGTAATATTGACACACTCGTCGCATTTATGCAGGTACTCTTTTTAAAACTAATAACGATCGACTTACATATGACGCATTCTAAATAGTTTGACATTTGTTTTAGTGCATCAATATAATCGATCAAGTTCATTATTTCGTGGAAATACTCCGTGCTGCATCGTCTTATTTAATGTAAATAAATCCATTCAAAATGCAGAATGACTCTTCAGTCAATAATTTTATTGATGCTCAGGTAGATGAAGAAGGTAATTTATTTTTGTTTGTGAAGTCTATGACAACTTGAATCTTCCTTGTCATCGATTATCTTCGAATGAATAGAATAACATTTTGAAAGGAAAAACTCACGCGTATTATTTGAATTTGTTTTTTTTAGTAGTACTCAATTTCTACAAGCCCCTTCATCACTAAACTGACCTTTTTACAAGATAAAAATTCTACTTGAAGTGCTTTAAACGATAAACTTAAAATAGAATTATTTCAAATTCAATACTGTCATTCGCCATTACTTGTTTACTTCGTGATTGCACAACAAAGCAACCATTACATTTCTTATCCGCAGTGGCAATTGAAATTTCGAATAAATAAATTTGCTTGATCAAACGTATTGAGAAGAAGAAAAAATAAAACTATAGAACTTAGAGTCACTTGACGGCAAAATTTTTGAATGTGATCATGAGACTAAGCAAACCAATGAGGTTTGAATGAGAGAATATTCTGCTCAGTCATGTGTATTAGACTGTTCAACTTTTGATATGTTGAAGATATCCTATCGATTAATAATAATCAACAGTAGATATCGATGAGAGAAGAGTTTGTCCGGCTAACTCTGCTACCTGACAGTGAGTGCGTTACTGTTTTTATTCATTTTGCTTTTCTCATTACTTTTAAACAATTTACCAGAGAAACGAGGGCAACATCTTATTTTGTTCACTAAAATGTGCGCTACATAGTGTACTGTTCATTTTTCCTCTCTAAAATATTCTTTCATCTGTCTTATGAACAATACAAAATATATTTAATATGTTTAAACGATTTTTTGTTCTGTTTTATTTTTCGTAAGACAGGCGACAGAATATTTTAGACAGGAAAAATGAACAGTACACTATGTAGCGCACATTTTAGTGAACAAAATAAGATGTTGCCCTCGTTTCTCTGGTAAATTGTTTAAAAGTAATGAGAAAAGCAAAATGAATAAAAATAATAACGCTCTCATTCTTCGGTAGCAGGGCAAACTCAGAGCTTACTCTGAATTAATAAAAAGTGTTTTCTCAAAAAATTGATAGGAGCAACGCTTTGAATTAATTAAGAATAACAAAAATAGAAATTAAATACCCCTACTTACCATATCATGCAACGATGAAAAATATTTTATTTGATCAGACTACAAATATTTAAGTAAATTTTGTGCTTTGTGTGATTCAAAAACTATGTTGGTCTCATTTTATATATGCAGTGCATTTGTTTCTCATTTACGCCTGCTTATAATGGTTAAAGATGACAATATACTCTCCTACGTTGGGTAACTATTTAATATTGTCTCATGAATATTGTCACTTACTTTCTGTCTTCTCATTTTTATTCTTTCTTGTATAATGTAGGTATCTAATTACATTTCGTTTTTTTCGTATTCTATGCGAAAAAAAGACTTTCTTTTCTTTTATGTGTCTAAAGTCAAGAAATACTATCGTAAGTTGACAATGTTTTTTTTCTTTTATTATAATATGAAACTATATCAA